TATTTATATCTTAGATGTATGTGTGTTATGAAAATTTGTCTTTTTACCATCAACGTTTGTTATTCTTCAAGCTATAAGGTATCTATCGTTTGATCACAGGAGTAGCTGGATAGTCCAGTGGTCAAAGTCTTTCCTCGTCACTCCAAAGACTTGAGTTCGAATAACTGTGAACGCCACTCTTTGAATCCACAGCCGTGATTTTGCTTACATAAAGAAAGCGTGAAACACCACTTTTTCATTAAAATCAGTGAAACTAAAACTTGATCAAGAATCGGAAAAATAACGTATATTCTTCTTTGAAAATGTTATCCACAGTAGACTAAAGTACCATGACTGATATTGACATACGGTGTTTTTCACCTTCCGAATTTGCATCGTTTATTGTGTGTTTTCATGGATCATGGTCATCTTAATAGTAAAGGGCGGTCGGGTAGCCTAGTGGTTCGCTCGTCACGCAGAAGACCCGGGTTCGATTCCCGACATGGGAACAATGTGTGAAGCCCAATACTGGTGTCGCCCGCCGTGATTGCTGGAATATTGCTAAAAGCGGCGTAAAACTCTCACTCGCTCACTCTATAAATAGTAAAACAATGGGTGATATTTAAGATAAATATGTGACTTTATACACATATGACATTCCGACCAGGAACGTAGGTCAGTTTACCAAGCTCTTGAAATTTAAGTGAATACAATTCGATACAATTCTCGGTAACAATTGAATCTGTTTGGGAGCTCTAGAAGAACACTGGCAGATGGTTCAATGCACCAGCATAGTGTGAGTTCAGTATCGACCTCAAGCGTTGCACCCAATCATCATGGCACCACTTAAACGGGACACATTTGCACATAGCAATGGCAATACACACCTTCCGGGCTCCAGTTCGTTAAGATGAGATATTTTAATAAGAGAGAAAGAAAATACAACTCTGCATCATCAACTGTCAGTAAATCAAGTAATCAATAGTCAGAAGAAGAAAGATAAGCATTTCAAAAGTGTGTTTGTGTTGTTTTTATTTTCGTTATTGAATATTAAGGTGAAAACATTCACTTACACATTCATTTGGTTGTATTTTATTTTTTATGATCAAATAGTGTGTTTCGTTTTATGCAGGTCTTCAGCGACCCATGCTTGTCCTAAGAGACGGCTATCGGGATCGGGTGGTCAGGATCACCGACTTGGTTGATGCATGTTATCGTATTCCAATTGCGTCGATGCTCATGATGTCAATCGCTGGATTTCCTGGTCCAGAGTCGATTATTTACAGACCGCCGTCATTTACCTGGAGTATGGCGTTAATCAATAAACAAACAAACAAAAAACGTCATGTTTGTGTGCGTACATGTAGCTATTCGAAATATGCACTGCCACAGTTTGCCTATGAGTTGGCAATAATGTGTATTTATGTTTAAACGCAAGCCTCCATACACTCGACGCATGCTCAAAGTGCTACAGTTAAACAATAACAATCACTTTATATAGATCCTAAAGTGGTATGTGGCACAGTGCCCCCAACAGCTTCTCCATCTATGTATCTGCCTCCTGCAAGTCATATGCTTCACGGAAAGATGTTTTTTGAGTGAATTAAATGTTTTAAAAAATTGATAGGAATAGGAAGAGTACTTCACAGACGTAGTTGGCCAGTTGTGAAAGATTTGTATCCATAGCTATTGAACAGGCAATTGGCGTAAATCTTCTGTTCGAAGTCATACTTGTGGCTTGTATCGATTGATATAGGCCTACTGTCTATCTTTGCGGATGGAACTTGTGATCTGACTTATGTAATGTATTTTAAATAAGGCCCACGTTGCGAGAGTCCCTTTGTATAACAACCATGTTCTTTGCACTGGACCCCGTGGGTGTTGTTTTTAGGATGAATAAATTCCAAGCACCCCATGCTTGCCGCAACAGCAACTACAGAGGTGACTTGGCTGATTGCGAGTCATCGAGCCCCAATCGTGTGGATCGATCTTCATGCTTTCAGTGTGCCTGGTCCAGACTCAATTATTTACTGGCCGCTGTGATATAGATGGAAAATTGCTGACTTGTCCAACATTCGCACATTTCCCCTCCTTTCTACATTTCTGTTTATTCGGTTTATTCTTTCTCGTGTACTAGTATTTACTCGTGGCTGAGATTTAACTGGAATATTGCTGACTTTCTCCTTAGACCAACATTCGCGCGATCACTCACTTTTCGCATATTTCTCGTTATTCGATTTCCAATATTAAAAACCCACAAAGATGTAAAACTTTTTTAATCACGCGAGGTACATATATGCAGTTAGACATAATTCTATGGTAAAACAACGATTAGAAAATATCATCCTACTTGACGCCGTGCCCATGACACACACACATTCTCGACATGCCCGGGGCAATGAGTGAAAGGTTAGCAGACAGGGGACAAAGTAGTGTTTAATCCCATCAAATTGGCTGATCAATAAGTCATCCATTTGAGCTAATAAATGTAAACACTGTGATTGACATGTCTGGTGATTGATTTTATGGGTAGTTGCATCAATGTGACCTCAACGTGTTGGCGGTCATAGGTTACCAAGTCCATTCACACCATCAGAAAATGGCTAATTCCACTTACAAACTATGCAGATTTAATTAAGACAACTCGGGAGAAAATAACCGTGTCTACCTCTCGTTAATGTCAAATACTCATCAAGGGCTTAGGCAGCATCGCCACAATGTCTATATATCCGTATATGCCCAAACGGTTCTGTAACAAACCATTTGTGCCGGTCACGTTCACATCTCGTTATGTTGGCTTTGTGACAACTGGATCAGGACTAAGGCCCTACAAGTTGAACTAGGTCATTCAGGAATGTCAAAAATGTTGCCCCTTGAGTTGTGTGTAGGAGTCGAGATGCTTAACTATGTATGAGAACAGACCAATAACACGATGTTCCAAGTCTTTGGCATCGATCCTAAAGTCCGTCGCATTTTGCGGAGAAGATGAGAACCATAGATTTCATCAGGATGATTGGGGAATCAGCAGCCATAGCCACACCTAGGATTAGATGACAAATTAGAATGACCTCGTCATGAGGCCAACAATTCCCCTTATTTCAACCAGCTGACATCAATTAAGATGTGGATGGAGATGTTGGCAACATCCTTTTAGCGGTTATTCTAGATTACATCCTCTGGCTTTAATCATGCAACAGTGTTTGAAGTGTTTGGCTTCAGTAAATGAAACCTTTGGAGAAGGAGTAATCTACTTGGGACAACCCACATCTTGATGTGCCTCTTGGATCAATACATGAAATACAGAATGGAATCTAGATGCAGCCATGGTCAAGACTAGTGATGTCAATGACGGTTTCCAGTTATATGGTTCGCAACAAGCAGTTATTTTAATAAGCCCAGGTTTCAGGGATCAATCTGAGAAAGACGATGAGTGAAAATGTTCTAAAATAAGCTGACAATTTTGTAATAATTCTTTTAGATCTTTTGGGGAAATTCTGTCGTATATCTTTGATCATTTGACATCATAATAACATATCTAAGTACACGTGCTGTGATTTGGATAAATAATATGTTTCATTTGCAAATACTTCTCTTTTAGGTAGATCATATATGTTCTGTTAATGGCTGTATATAAAAAAAATATAAATGTTTTCATGTTCATCTTAAAACGAACTATACCTCCTCTCATTGGAACTATTATTATGAAATAATTGTGAAATGTATTAAACATATTACAAATTTTCGCCCAATCAAATTCAACTTCCTGAAGTCAAATAAGTGATAATGGGAAGAAATTGGAAACCAAGATTCTGCTAGGACAGCCCACATGTACCTTCCAACCCCAAGTGCACGTTGTCCTATTGTGATATATTGTTATCTTCGTGGTGAGCTACCTACTCTACGTTATATTACCTTGGCATCTGGCACATTAATATAGGTTAGCAGAATGCTCACTTAGCTGTCACTTTAAGAGGATCATCCTGACTCCCCTCTCATGACTACCTCTGCCTGACCCACTTTCCCCGAGCTCCTGTTAAATCGATTTCACTATTTCTCTATTTTGTGAACGTCTCGTATATTCTGAAGCCAATATTTCACTGCGTAATTTTCACCAATGTTGCTTATATATGTGGCCTGTGTGATTGTTAGGTTGTTACTTCTGTTTAAATATGGTTGTCAATCACCAAGGTATTGTTTGTTCTGTGATCCTTCTGATGAATGTTTGCCCCGAATATGACCCTTGGTTTTCCAGCAAAATTACCACACTGGGTTTCTTGAATGTTTTCAGCGTTTCAGACCAGCATCACTTAGGTCTTTCCCTCTCCAAAGACATAACTGGGGCCGTGACAGGGTCCGTTGGTCGTTGATCAAATACAAACATTCTTCGTGATAATTAAGGATCCGTGGTTAGTCAGCACTATACCCGTGTTCGCGGATTTCACCAAAATGGTAAACATCTACGATTTGGACTGTTGGTTTCCCTCTTACAGAAAACTGACACGCAGTGATACAACTGAAATACTTTCCAAAGCAACGTAAAACCCAACTCACTGACTCACTCTTACGAGAGAAAATTCTAGTAAAATATTACTTTTCACGCGACTGATAAGCAAGACGTATAGACAGTGACTGCATCTCATGGACATCTGTAGGTTGAAGCAGGTTCCGGTCTGTCTGTGGTAGTGTCCATTCACCTCCTATATTCTCCTATCCGGTACTATCTCGGCATGTCATAACGTAATGTGTCCACGACTAATGAAGCCTTTGTCCTCCTCGGCAGAGCAGCGTTACGTCGACGCGGCGTTTCATGACGTCAATCAGAGCAAACTTGTACGGAAGTAATCCATGCATATGATATCTCGCAAACACAGAGACTTGGCATGCCTCATGCTCTTGGGCGTCCTTTCCGTTAAAGATATCACGGTGATCTTTCTCTGAAGACAAGGATTGAGTGTTCAAAATCAAGTACTGACCTTTGGGAGTCGTTGGTGTTTTTCTATATTTTCCATCTTTTATTTCAGCCATGTGAAGCGCGGTCTTGCAGTGATTCTACCAAGCATCAGATATTAAAATCCAGAATCTCAACGTGTCTTCAGCCCGGTTTTCCGGAGCCCAGAATGCAATGTCCTGCATGAGTCACATCATCGTCAGGGCCATGTACGTACTCAAGCGTCTCTTCAGGACGGAGCAGGCGGACACTAAAGCCGAGCAGGACCAGAGTAAGCTGGTTCGGAAAGTCGGCAGGAAAGGAAAAGGGAAGGGAAACTTCAACATGCCGTGTGGTGTGGCGGTCACCAAGGCTGGTAAGTCCTCTGTCAGCTTTTTGGGCTCCATGTCCGTTTGTGGCCGGGATAAGCCGACTGGATACGGAATGGGGGGAATGCACACGATTGAAACAGGTTTTGTTGACTCGGATACCTTTACCTTTTTGAGGGCCCGTGGGGATTTTGGTTTAGAAGTGGTTCCCCCCTCAAATGAAATGGTTGATTGCGTGTCATCGTCCCTCGTTGGCGTGGGACGTTGCTCATAATATCACTCACTGGTTTGTCTTGCCTATAAAGAGATACAATCCGCTCACTGAATAGAGCTGCATCCTCTTATCATGTCATGTCATATGGGTTCAAATCCCATATTCTCCCCGGTATCTCAGTGCCATTCTCGTGCTCGTTCTTTCACCGAAGTGGTGAACGTTTTTTTACCTGCGTCACGAAAGGTTTTCTTCCCAAATTATCATTAGCCGATAATCCTTTATGTTTCTGACCTACAACATTCCTATCTCGTGCATTCCAGGACAGTATTGATCTCCATTAGCCTTAAATCGTTGAGTTGCACCCATGTCTGATGGTGGCTAAAAAAAAAACGAACAAGAAATGGTTATTCGATTGTGATGTATTTAATACGGGTATCATAGTTGTGTTTTGGACCTTACGTTTGCAGTGTTTCGGCGACTGTTTTCTGCTAAGTAACGTTCTGATAACTTGTTTAATTTGTTTTATCAAGTCCATCTTTCAAGTGTTCTTTTGCGGGTAGTTTTGTACCGTACATGGCGAGTAGATTGGGGACCGTACATGACAAGTAGATTGAGATCAATATTCTTAGCGTAATGTACTAATCTCTTCCAAGAAAATCAAGATGGTATAATTTGACTATATAATATATTTTACATATGTGGCAGTACAAGTAACGTCAGAGGTGATGTCTTTATATTTTGGGGGTTTTTATTCATTGCACTGACAATAGGATCCTGGTTCGCTTATATCAGGAACTCCAACTATACAGATCTTGAAACGTTACCTAAATTCCTTCAATGAACGGTTGTGGTGAAGGTGTCCACGAGTAAACTGTTCTCTTAAGTTCTTTTAAGTAATGCAGCAAAACTATTGTTCATCTGAATTACACCAAAGCCAGCTGCCTTTTATCGATGTTCATGTATACATTAATTTGTTGCTGAAATTCCAAAAAGGATTGAGAAAAATTGTGTCATCCAACTAGGAAAATCGCAACGTGAGTTTTGTTTCGTGCACACGCCATTTGACCTTTTTCGACGCTGAACGATAGATCCGTGGGTTAATACAGTCGGCAGATCAATAGAGATAGAATAATGTTGTTTAAGTAGTAGACGCTATCAAATATCTTATGTCGTATTTATCTTTTTACCCTAAAGCTTCGAACTGATGCATTGGAGAACTGCATTTTGATTGGTCAGAATCTCTGACATCTACTGCCTAATGCTTTGTGCATTTGAATGGCTGGTTAGGTAAAGATGTTTACTAGGCACATTACTGTCACTGTGATACAGTTTTGTACGTTTAAATCTAAATATGATGGCGCGTTACAGTTTAAAAACAATTTATCTTAAATCGCTAATTGTTAAATTTATTTTATGTAACTGAATATGAGTGTACAATGTAGGGATTGTATAACAGAAACAGGCACTATACACAGTTTATCCCATAAATTTCATGTTTAACGAGATAGATTTGATTGTAGGGATTAAACGTGTACTCGTTGACACTCAAGATCGGACGAAGTGGACATACGTGAGCAACTTCATCACCATGAAACGCTTCACGCATCATGGAATGAGCTCACGTGATCCATCGCCAAGTCAACAAGTACACGTTTGAACCTTGATTAATCCTTGATTGAACAAACCCGTTCCACCTTCAGGCACAGTCGCTGCTTCCACATTATTCCGCAAACCATGACACATGATAAGTGTTTGTATATGCACCTGGAATATAATTAAGCACCACAAAATATATATTTCCATATAAAAGAGCAAGGTTTTTAAATTGCCTGATGCATTGTCCTTATGGCGATACACACTTGTGTTTGTTTAAAGTGTCATAGGTCATGACCCAGTCCTTGCGACCACCTGGAGCTACCTAGAGTTCTTTCAATTTCGCCAGGTATCGGTTGTACATTGGACATTTATCAAAACCAGGTCAATGTAATGTGTACATATTTCCGCAAGTTCAACTTTATGGATAACAACTTCTGGTTTGTTAGCGACCTTTCGAAGTAGAGTTTTACACCGTTATCAAGCTGGAGTACTACAGCGTACGAATCTATTCTAGCTTGATAACGGGGTAAGAATCTGCATCGATACGACGCTATATGCAATACAGCAGAAGTTGTTATCCATAAAGTTGTATGTTTTCTTACTTAGTAGTAATACTCACCAACTTCTAGAATGCCAATCAAACAGTTCCGCAAGATACAGGGAGTTCGGAATATATGATAACTGAAGGAATGGTACTTAACCGTTTTCTATGTGTATGTAATGATAATTTGATTTGAAGACACATGTCATCAAACCTACCATTCGTCCATTCCAATACTCTGAAATAGTTCACATGAACTACACAAAATATAACAAAAAGTGCAAAGTCCACTGTTAACAGTTCATCAAATGATAGCTGTGCAACTGTGATACAGTTTGGTAAATAATACCCTTTTTCTTGTAGTTGGTCCTCCATAGGGATTTCGGGTTAGAATTGGTCCCCAGCAACTATTGCTGTTCTTAAGAGTTGACTAAATGGATCAATGGTCCGGATCGATTATTTTCAGACCTCCGCCATACTGCTGGAATTTTGCTGAATGCGGCGTTAAACACAAAAATAACAAGTGATAGTTGGCCGTTTTGTGAAGAAAGAGACGTTTTGCTATCTCAGGGGACTCATTGTGAATATGGGACCGACGACTAACACTTGCCCCCTCAATAACCCCCACCACCCACCTACAACAACACAACCCACTCCCACACCTCCTCCTCCTCATCATCATCATCATCACCATCATCATTTGCGGGGCGGTCGGGAAGCCTAGTGATTAAAGCGTTCACTGGTCATTCTGAAGACCTGGGTTCGATTCCCAACATGGGTACAATGTGTGAAGCCCATTTCTGGTGTTCCCCGCCGTGATATTGCCATATTATTGCTAAAAGCGGCGTAAAACCATACTCACTCATCATCTGCATAACTTAATTAACGACCAAGGTACAAGACACATTATTGTATCACTGTGACTACATTCTAGTCCGTCTCCCAGACCCTAGAGAATAAATTTAAAAGGAGTGATTGATTTGGCAAGTCTAGATTGCCTCAATTAAGAATTGTTCGGGGTTCTTTTTGCGTTTTATTATTTGTTTTGTAGACATATAGTTTTAATTAATAGAACTTTATATACTCAGTATAACTCCATTCATATCCCCGGCAAGACGACATTACTAATTCAGATTACGTTGTTTCAGGCGACATCGTCGTGGCCGACACGGAGAACCACCGGATACAGATATTCTCCCCGGAGGGCGTGTTCAAGTTTAAATTCGGAGTAAAGGGAAGTAAACCGGAAAACATGAATTACCCAATGTGCATTGCCATGACAACGGATGAGTGCATAGCATTGACTGACAGTGTTAATGCGTGTGTCAAGGTTTTCTCGGTGACTGGGGTATTCAAAGAAAAGTTCGGAGGGAATGATGTGTTCGAGTTTCCCTACGGAATAGCAATCAGCCCCGACAACTACATTACGGTGACGGATATATGTAAACACTGTGTCGTGGTTCTCTACCCGAGTGGGGGTGTTAGCCATACGTTTGGTTGCTATGGCGACGATGCCAGAGAATTCGACCATCCTTATTTCGTTGCTGTGAACAAAAACAAACAAATAATCGTCTCAGACGCTGGCAACAGCGCAATAAAAATCTTCCATTTCGAAGGAAAACTGCTGCGCACGTTTTCTCTGAACGAGTTCCGGTTACCGGCGGAAGAAACGTTTGTGTCACTCCAAGGCCTATGCACAGACACCGATGGAAATACTATTGTTATATGCAACAGTACAGTGTATATTTTGACCAAGAATGGACGCCTCTGGGACATATTCACTCCAAAAGACGGACTTTCGTCGCCTAAATGTGTTACCTTCTCTCCTCTGGGCAGAGTCGTTGTGACTCAGTCAAACTTTGACGACCGTCACGAAATGTGCATTTATAGGTACAACGTTGAAGATTACAAACCTTTGAATACATTAGTATACTATGCTATTTCTATTTAATGCTTGTTGATATAGTGTAGTATTGCTTAGAGTAGTGAAATACTAGCTGCCTGTAGACATTATACTGAAGAATGTGCCATACAAGGGACAGTTGTTCTGATCATTGTTGACAGTGACTGTGACGTCATTGGTTTGTTTCAAATATATACACGCAGTCGAACCTCGTTGTCTCGGATGTGCCGAATCCCGGTTGTGTCCCGTTTCAGCAATCTCTTACACAGTATGTACTGTTTTAACCCGGGTGTGTCGAACTGGATGTGTCGAATATACCGGTTGCCTCGAATATATTCGAGACAACGGAGTTAGACTATATTGCATTATACCTATTTCTATTTCGAATGTTTGGACGTGTGTTATGTGAATATTATTATGCCTTTCTATCCACATTATATACATTTTATGTGATTGTTAAATACTTTTACATGTAGATACAAAGTTACAAGGTACAAAATGTTAAACTTAGCATATACCAAATGATAGCAAATAGTTGGTATGGCGTGTGTGAACGAACTGTGACCAATATCATTAATTCTTATGAATATGATTATTATATATGTATTGAATTTGCATGCCTGCCATGAATCAGACAAGACTAACAGAGAGCCATTGAAGGTATTTGACAAAGTTTAAGCATGGGTATGTTTAAAGCTGTACAACGTTACAATATTCTCAGGCCTTCTATGTCCATCTTCCCGAGACAAGGGAGTTGTCAGTTTCCACCCTTGCCGAACGAGACTGGAATTTCGGAGTTACTTTTTAGCTGGATTAACGAGTCTAGCCATAGTCCAATCAATATCGCGTAACGAAATCGACATCCGGTTTGTAACCTGCAGTGCTGATTTCAGTCGATTGCAGGATTTTAAAAGCATGTGTACCGTCAACTCGGCGTTGACAGATATTTACCAAATCGCTACATGTTCTTGATCAAGGTGCTCAAGTAATTTGATGCACTTCGCGAGGAAATACTCGTTTTATTACAATATACATCTTGATCATCGATCAGATCGTCTTGACTGGGGCCGCCATTTTGTTTGAAGCAAATGGAAGCAATATAATAGGTGGACTCTGATTGGTCAATAGGAGGGACATGACTCGTAATAGCCAATGTTGGCGCTACGATCGAGCCTTGAAATTCCAGCCCAGTTAGGCAAGGTTGAAAACTGGACTTTTAGAATCAGTTAACTCCCTTGCCTCGGGACGATGTCTATATGACTCGTAGCTAGAAATGTGATCTGTCTCCTGTGAAACAAGTTTGAAAGATGGAAAGGTGATTTTGCTTAACTGTTTTTTACCATTTTTAACATATTCACATTGGCAGACCGAGTTCATTGGTGTGGTTTGTCGTTATTTACAAATATATTTCACAGCTCGAATAATCAATATTGCATACAACAGGACGTATGAATATATACAGACAACAATGTCGACCGAGGGAATGACCAAGATATGGGTAATTAAATTGATTTTATGAGCGCTTCAGTCCCAGAAGTCACAAGAACAATCAATACTGTAAAGTCCCTGTTATCTCTTGATTTAGCAGTGGTGCTGTTTATACCTACAATAGTGCAAGCATTCATACAGGCACACAACCACCCCACCTTACATTCAGTTCCATACGACTGTTTCCATGAAAGGCATACACAAACTAAGGGTGGATCCAGCATTTGTAAAAGGGAGGGGTCCAAAATATCAAAATCCTCTCTCAGTTTGGGGGTGGGGAGTGGGGATGAGGTGATTGTCTACAACATACTACATTTGGTTTTCAAAAGGGGGGGGGGGGGGGGGGGGGGGGTCCTCCCTTATATGCAAACACAATGAAGTTGATATTGTTGACCTACCCCTGCATTAAGTCTCTGCTTCGCCATAGACTGAAGAACGATTTACTTCAACCGACAACGCGCCATAATAGGTAATGTGTCAGCATTATATACATGTTGGACGAAAACATTTCCTGAAGTAATTAGTCTTTTTATCTGCTTTACTCAGCATCACATGATTCCTCTTGGTTATCTTCTTTCTCAGGAAAAGGATGATGCTGTTTTGCTTTTTTTTATGTGCAGGTGGACATTGCCTTGAAATATTGATTTTGGTTATTACTACGTGTTCCACACACGCGCTGGGGGAACGCAACCATTAATATGCATTTTTTAATAATTTGTTTCGCAAGCTTGTTGTGGAACAGAAATTGCTGTTAAGCTGTCGGGTGCATTCAGTTTGCACATCTGCATGCCTCCATGAACCTACTTAACCAGTCAAACAAAATAGCACAAAATACATGTACAGTAAACTACGGTTATAACGAAATCAAAGGGACCACTTATTTTGGTTCGTTGTAACCGTAGTTCGTTATAAGCATATACACAGCAAATGGACGGGATCAAACACATTTCGATATATCCGTCAGTTTGTTATAAGCGTGTTCGTTATAAACGTAGTTTAGTGTATGTACCAGTGAGCCTAACTTCTTAACCTTAGATATTGCTAAACCGAATCTCTATTACTAATATTTGTGATAAGTGGAGTCGAAATAATCGTCTATATTACCTAGAAGAGACCAATAACAGGGGAAGCAGTTTTTGGAAAATGTCACAATGACGTTTATTTCTTGTTTCACGCTGATTGGCAAAACCTCGTGTATTGTTTCTTCTTTTCATGATTTGCGAAACATCTTGGCAGTGCATTATCTCGATTGAAAACGACGCCATAGATTGTTCATGAGTTCACAAAATATTTTTATGCAACGTATCAACAATTGATTGAATTGGTCGACAAACATATATTTTTCTACGTTGTATCCCAAAGTGTTAACGGTAAAATATAATAACTTTTCCAAACTCGGAATTACGTAGTATTTACCACTCGTGAAGGAGGAATTAATTCTTGGCCTGATCAACCGTAATTCCTTGCGGCTTGTATAAATAGTTTCTAAATGGAATACTCACCATTTCATAGGTCTCGATAATTAGCATGCTCTGATATTCACCACAAAGCAGAGGGTATATCTCTATGATTACTGTAACTCCATGTAAACATAACCATCAATATACTGGTGTACATTTGTACTGTGACATATATTAAAATATTGGCGTACCATCATTGTCAAGGCGATATCAAACGGCCTAGACGTCATTCACGCATCTACCTTCCCGAAGAAAGACTGCTGAGCCTTTGTCAGTTCAAGGGACGTAACTCTGTAAGGTTTACACCTTCCACCATGTTGGCACACGGGGTTTAATCACGATTGCTCACATTTCATCTACTCTCAGGTCTGTCCTCGACACTATTAGTCGGATTAAGTATTTTTGTATTACTTGGTTTATTTCGGTTTAAAGAGGGGAGTCTGATGATTATTTTCAGTCATGAAAAAATGAAAGAGCCAGTTTGTGAACTAAGGAAGCATTTTCTTTGAAAAGGCATGTTAGAGTCTTTCCACATTGTTTTCGACAAAATATGTAATCCAATCTTTTAGAAAAAGATTTACATTCAGAAAAGCAAACATATAGGCGTCACTATTTAAAATGAGAAATGTGTTTCTCCTTGGGAAGATGTCGTGAAAACCCATTCATCCGGAAACCCCGTTCCCACTGAAGTAACATTGATTTACGTGTTTCCAAATAAACCAATCAGGTTCTGAGTTGTATATATTTATGTATAGTTGTTCAGAACATTATTTGTGCGGAAGGCGGGTTTCCATATTTGCAGGTTTCAGACTAACGAGGTATACATATGAACAGGGTTCGGAGTGACCAGGTTTTTATATATATAGGGTTCGGTCTGACCAGGTTTCTATATAAACAGGGTTCAGATTGACCAGGTTTCCATATATACAGGATTCGGACTGACCGGGTTTCCATATATACAGGATTCGGACTGACCAGGTTTCCATCTATACAGGGTTCCGAGTAACGAGGTTTCCATATATACAGGGTTCAGGCTAACGAGGTTTCCATATATACAGGGTTCAGACTGACCAGGTTTCAATATATACAGGGTTCAGACTAACGAGTTTTCCACATATACATGGTCCAGACTAACGAGGTTTACATATGTACATTGTTCAGACTGACCAGGTTTCCATGTATACAGGGTTCAGACGCAAAATGTTACCATATATACATGGGTATGATTAACGAGGTTTTCATATGTACAGGTTTCAGATTAACGAGGTATCCATATATACAGGACTTTGATTAACGAGGTCACTATATGAAGTGTTCAGATTAACGAGGTTTTCAATTATGCAGGGTTTAGATTTTACTGAAGTTTGAATTTCTTACTTCCGAATATGTTAATCCCCCGCTTCAGAAACAGTTAAAGGCAATGACATGTGAGCCCATTGTTGTTGGTGGTCGTTTCGAAGCAAACTATTACAATGCCATTGTCAGTAAATCAATTCACACTACTGGGCAAAATAAAGTATACACTTCAAAACTGGTTTTCACTAAAACATTAGAAACGTTTTGAAAATAGTCGCCGAAACACTCGCAAACTTAATATCCACAACATAACTTTTATACCCGTATACATCACCATCCAATAACCATTTTGCTTGTTTCATTGTCAGCTACCATCAAACATGTAGCTATACTTTCTTTTGTCCGGCAGTTTACTTGTGAATTTCCTAAGTTGGTGTAATTATGCATGACGTTAATATACAAGACTCATTGTCATGGTGCAATCATACGCTTATCAATGTATGTCCTTATGTGCAACATATTGGCATTCGCCACAACCGCATTTGCAAAATCTTGTTCTACTGAAAGTTTACTTCAACATTGTCCAAATACATACATATTCTGCATTTGTATAAAAGAATTCTAATTTCTGCATACTTAGACGTTCAATTTAATGTTAACTTTCGGTAACATCCCGATACAGCTTATGTCCAGTACCAATCAAATAATCCTTATATATATATTAAACATTTATGCCTTGAGGCAATCAATGTTTCGCTTAACTGTACATATATGTATATTGTATGGCCATGTTCGCACTGCCATTCGTGAAAATGAGTCCTATGATTCTCAACACAACGAGTATCACTTATTTAGCCCGATGTTCACAGCGTTTCATTCATGTGCTGAGTGTTCTTAAGTGTTTTGACATTTTATTGATGCTCCAAGTGCTTATGTGCTGAAGTGAATGATGTTCTTCATTTTGTTTGTACAGGACTTTTACACACTTGAAAGGTATCTGTTAATCTTTTGCGATAAAGGTTTCTTATTTCAACTGTGTTGTTTTGTGATGTTTTGGCATTGTATGTCAGCTTAACATTGGGTTAAACACGAATATGCTGTTCTCTGCGTGAATTCAGAAATGACATTTAATAATATATTAATAAGAAGAATTTGATGAGTCTGTTCAACACATTGTCAGTGGATGCCCAGCTTTGGCACAAACACAGTATCTTAAGCGAAAGGATGGAGTGGTTCGATCCTTTTATTGCCGTCTTCGCCATGCTTATGGTTTTGACACAAAGGTCCATCCATGGTTCGACCCTGAATATGTAGAGGGCGTCAAGGAAAATGATAAATACAAAATTCTTTGGAATGGGGCCCGTAGCCTCAGACTTATCCGGGCCAACAAACCTGATCTGGTCCTTTTTGATAAATCCAATGAAATCATTTATATTGTTGAATTTTCTGTCCCTTTTGACACTAATGTCATTCACAAGATTCAGGAAAAGACATAGCAAATGTGCGGACCTCGCTTTCGAAATGGCAGCCTTGCATCCCTAGTACCAAGTTGTCCGACTCCCCATTATCCTCGTGAGTTAGGTTTGGTACCTCGCAATCTGTTGACTGGCATTGGGAGAGTACCCGGGTCTGCTACCAGCCTTTCTGTCAATCTGGGTAATGCAGAAGGCTGCCGTGTTGGGGTCTTCACATTGTCCGAATAGTCCTGGGTGGATTTGACTGGGCAGCGCTTCCCAGGAGAAGTCCCATTCGCTGTCTGGTCTGCGTGTAGAGGAGGCAAGGGCCCTGAGCTGACGATGAGCCTCACCAGCCTGACTGTGCCAGGGTCACACAAACCCTCTTTGCTGTATTTATTTGTTTTAATCTGTAAATAATAATAATGATTGAAACAATGTCGACCAGCCGCTTTGGTGTCATTTCGACCAGGGTACACTTTTGTACATGTGAGTGAGTGAGTGAGTGGTTTAGCGCAGCTTTGAACAGTATTTCAGTTACATCCCAGTGTGTCAGTTTAATGTGGGAAGAAAGCCAGAGGTGATACAGGTCTCAGACGTTTACCACATCGGAGAAACCCACGAGCACGGGTACGGTGTTGACAAACCTATTGATTACCCGAAATTACAACGTCTGGACACGGAACACTTTCGTCGCGTAGAGTAGAAACGTCAACGGGGTGACTATGCTCAAGGATCAATTGCCCATTTTCAGTCAAGGTTCAGTCAAGATATTGTAATGCATGCTGGTTTTGAAATTGTGACATTGATATAGACGCCTTTTTGGGCAATTTGATTTTTTTCTTTAAATTTCAAGATACTAAGTTGAAATTTCAAGATACATACTAATTAGAATCGTAAGATAATGATCTTGAAATTTCACGATAAGTTGAAATATCGACTTGTTACCTTGAAATTTCAACTTATGTATCTTGAAATTTCAACAAAGCATCTTGAAATTTTTACTAAGCTTCTTGAAATTTCCTAATAGCATAGCATAGGTACTAAGTTGAAATTTCAAGTTATAATCTTAAAATTTCAACTTCTTATCTTGAAATTGCAAGATTGTTATCATGAAATTTCAAATTAGTATGTATCTTGAAATTTCACCTTAGTATCCATGCTATGCTATTATGAATTTTTTTTAAATCAATTGGCCCTAAAAGGCTTCCGTACCTTTACAAACTGTACGTGTACCTCTGTCCTGCGCATTGGTTTGGTAAAGACACGATGATCCGCTTGTTCTAAACTTGTACATATCATTGACGTTTTAGAACCTATGACCTTTCTGCTTTCATCCGTTGCTTTGTGAGTGTTTTTCTCTCAAAACGTTCGGTAGTCTTCAATTGTGGAAGAATGTAGACCCGGTATGATGACAACAAATAAAAGTTCGAATAAGTCATGTTAAACGTTTTTAGCGTCTACATGGTAACAAGCCACACACTTAACCCGTGAATATTAATATATCAAACAAAATGTACCACTTGTTTTAGCCAAGCAGGGAAACGATTTGTTATGTGTAATCCATTTTATCAGGCCTGGTTTTAATTAAAAAAACCTTTAAACTGGAACTTTAAAAAACAACAACACACATTCCTGATTTTTAGCGCTGGGGTTTCAAGTAAACACAATTCAAACGCCTACATGTAGTTAGGCTACTGAGCTGTGGACTAGTTGCACCCGTCGGTTTGGTTGCCGAACGCTTTGTGGGTCGGGGCAATGAATTGTGATCAAAGAATCCGGGTTGGTGCAAATACCAAGTCCATGTAACGGCGTACGCAAACGCCGAAAACCTTTCGTAGGATTCAGATTTTTAAAAAAATATGTGTTTTGCGTCAAAATGCCATTCTTTATTTATCAAAATAATAGAGTACATTTTTATCAAATTGACAGTGATGTCATCATACAAAAGGATTTCGCCCGAGACATATATATCTGAGATCACATAAATCTTGAGGGGCAAACTAAATGTAAAAAACTAATGTATTTGTGTTCCTTAACTTTGATAACTATTTTTACCTAAAAATGTTACCTTTCTTTCTGTAAGGTTTCTTTTTATATTCCTTTCTCATTTACAACGTATGACATTATGTTTAGTCTTGTGTTAATTGTTGAAACGTTTTTCATCTTATAGCCTTATTGCCATATGACTTATTGCCGGGACGTATTTCCATGTGTGAACCAAGTAAATAGTTCTTCGTAATATATTGTGAATACAACATTCAACCTTTAAAATATATTGCGTGCCAGTAGGTTGATATATATTACGCACTGCTTAGCGAAGGCGTACAGTGGGATACAGCTGTCCTCTTTGTTTTCTGGTTAATACACTGTCATTATGCTTTCTGTATTGCGGAACTTTGTGGAACACTATAGTTCCTTTGCGACGTACTCCCAAGATAGGACCACGCCCTGATATGGACCGAGTTCGAGACTGGTTAAAGAAGCAGTGTTGCCGACTTGCAGCTTAACACCGTTTTCTGTCGTCAGCTCAACATCGGCTTCTTCCGGAATTGTGTAGTGGGTGCCCTTGTATTTTCGTGTTTCTTTGCCGCTGCCGAAGTTAATGGCGACCAGAAATCTGAAAGTATTAAAGACGACAATTTTAGTGACAATTGCGAAGTTGTATTGTTGATGAAGACAGTTGACATCTTCATCTTCTATATTCTCTTTTTGCGGCGTGTATCGGTCTTACGTCATCATAAAAGCTCCAATGAAATAGTCATTTAGCCCATACTGGAATTGGTGTTATACTTAACTTACTGGGCTACTTGTATACATTTTTATATCTATCAGCATCGTTAAAAACCCACAACAATTTACTCACTTGTTCAGCAGATTACAAGTAAATACTTCGAAGGAGTAATTCTATTACTAGCGATCTATTTATTGCGTGGTTATGGTCGAAATATACCCCCTTAAGTCTGTATCCCAGACCCTGGAGAACAAATTAAAAACGGAGTCCAACTCAAGTCTAGAATGGTTTGACAAGTCTACATTGCCTCAGCTCCTGAAATTAATTATTGTTCTGGGTTTCATTTGAATTTTATCAATTGATTAATATAAATTTTTAAAGAAGATAACTTTATTTCTGGGACTTAACATCAAGTCTAACCCCTTCTAAATTCCAATCTGTTTAAAAAGGTGCGCTGAACTGAACATGGCTTTCCCTAAATGGAACTCAATATTATGCAATCCGACCGGAAGTGTACATTTATTTTATGTGTTTCATTAGGTACCTATATATAGTCATTGGCCCTTTGTTTATCTGTGAACCCTTAAAATGTGTTTACCTATGATATAAATTCATGGAGCGGAGGTATCTATTTATGGTCCTAGTATATCTGAACATATAAACTGCCGAGCAAAAGAAAGTACACCCATGTTTGATTTTGGCTAAAAACTACAAGAAATAAATGGTTATTGGGTGGTGATGTATTTGATACGGGTATCATAGTTGTGTTTTGGACCTTAAAAGTGCAGTGTTTCGGCGACTGTTTTCAGCCTAGTAACGTTTTGATAATGTTTGTAATGTTTTGGTCAAATCCAATTTTCAAGTGTATACTTTCTTTTGCACGGCAGTTTGGTACCTATTCTTGGAAATTTAATGTCCGTGTAAATATATTGATAAACCTTGAGTTACATGTCGTTGGAGTGAGTGAGTGAGTTTGGTTTTACGCCGCTTTTAGCAATATTCCAGGAATATCACGGCGGGGGACACCAGAAATGGGCTTCAGACATTGTACCCATGTCGGGAATCGAACCCGGATCTTCGGCGTGACAAGCGAACGCTTTAACCACTAGGCTACCCGACCGCCCCTCATGTCGTTGGACCCTTGGTATCTAGTCATAGACCTGTGAAGTATATTCATGTACTGTGAACGACTTTAAGCTTGTTATGTCAGATCGGCAGAATCGCGACACGACACAATATTCTTACTAAGTCGTTACGCTAGTAGATTAACATTTGTTGGCGGGGATTATAAACTATTACCCTTTCTCTCCATCGTACTCTCTGACGAATGACACCACGCTGCTGTCGTCGACGGAGCGGACATAGTCTCCGTATTCGAACGACGCCTGGTTTCGCAGCTTCGTCAGATTCTTGAACAAGTGCATCAACGACGACTTGCTCGTTTTCTGTATCTGTGGAGAACAATAAAATCACAAGTATGAAACATGGCGCCCAAACACATCCAAAACGCGGATCATTTAATTCCGAAAATGAATTCAATCAACTATGCTGTGTATGTCAGTATATCTATACTATTAAAAAAAAGAAACGCATAACCCGTATTTGCTGAGAAAATGTTGTATATTCAAACATGAATAACTTGGTAGGAAATGAACTTAAGTACATGAAATTTTACATCCGTTTAGGAGAGATCAATGTCTATACAATGATGTCCATAACTTGAGGTAAGGCATTCACAATATTCCTCAAACGTGAATGGAGTATCAATATATGTTGTGCCCACAACGTGCACGAATAACAGTTCTCACACGCCTTGCCATGGACTGGATGAGACGCTGGATAACGGCCTGGGGAATCCTCCGCCACTCCTCCTGCAGAAATGCAGCTAGTGCCTGGAGAGTTTGGGGTTGATGTTGACGCTGACGGAGACGGCGATCAAGTTCATCCCACAGGTGCTCTATTGGGTTAAGATCCGGGGAACGGGACGGCCAGGGGAGCACGTTGACATTCTTAGCAGCGAGAAAGGTCATTGTGACACGTGCCGTGTGGGGCCGTGCGTTGTCCTGCTGGAAAATCTCACGTTGGACGTCAATGGCTGGCAGGAGGTGTGGTAGCAGGATGGTGTCTCTGTAGCGTACAGCCGTCAGGTTTCCCTGGACGTTGACAAGATCGGTACAATCAGTGTAGGATATTGTCGCCCGCATCATCACACTCCCTCCACCAAATCTGTCCACTTGACGCACGCAGTTAAGGGCATAACGTTCATGAACACGGCTGTAGACCCGGTTCCTACCATCACGTCTCTGCAACAGGAATCTGGACTCATCGCTAAACCAAATGCGTCGCCAGTTGCGAAGGTTCCAGGCAGTCACGTTGTTACACCAACGGAGACGATGAGCACGATGGTGACGACGTAGCACGTTCCCGACGTAGGGTCTCCTGGCTCTCAGTCCATGTTCTCTCAGCCTGTTCCGTACAGTCTGGCCTGATATCCTCCTAAGTCCTGGCCGCCGCCTCCGTGGTCTTGTGGTAGAGCGTCCCGGAGAGCGGAAGGTCCGGGGTTCGATCCCCGGCCGCGTCATACCAAAAGACGTTAAAAGATGGTACTTGTTGTTACCCTGTCTGGCGCTCGACATTAAGGGGCTAAAACAAGGACTGGTTGGCTCGGAGTCAGTATACTGTGTCTGAGTGGGGTATTCATGTTAAACTGCGGCATGGTATCTCAGTGAGCTAGCACTATAAATCGGCATCAGTCCGGACTAGTACAAGCAGCCACACACACACACACACACACACGTGCATGCACGTCGCTATATAAGTGCAATAATCTTGGACGCGACGTTAAACCCAATTTCACCTCACCTAAGTCCTGGCACCCTGGCTGCAGTGCTCTCACCCGTAGCAGTACGGTCACGCAAATGGAGGACCCGGATGTAGCGATCCTGGGCTGGTGAGGTGACTCTAGGTCTTCCTGTACGGGGACGGTCATTTGTTGTGCCTGTTTGGTTGTAGCGAGCTGCAGGCCGTGATGTTGTGCTTTGGCTAACATTCAGGGACTCTCCAGCCTGCAGTCTTCCAATGGCGATGTTCCTTGTGGCAGCATCAAGACGTGGCATGTACATTTGGCTTGGAAACACCTTCTGAACGAATGCCTATTTCCGAAAGCAAGCATGCTTTTTATTGCCAATCACTGCATGCTTTTTCTGCCCAATTTCAACGTGCAAGATGCCACTTGTTGCGTTGTGGCGATGCATTTCTTACTCATTCTCAAAAAATCACATCAAAGTCAACATTTTCAAGCAAAATCGATTTGTTGCAAACGGAAGTGTGTCAATTGATGCTCTTACCAATATTGATACATATTTTGACGATAATATGAATACAATAGGCAATATTTTCGTTTTGACATATCAATAACACCTATGCGTTTCTTTTTTTCGATAGTATATATATAGCTGTAAAAAAAATTATAACCATTATTTTATTAGTTTTCCTTGTTTATTAGTATTAGTCAGGTATACCCATCACGTACTCGTGACTCAACTGGGGGCACGAGTTGTCCAGTCCTCTAAGGCTAAACAATCCGCTTTGCGGAGTTGCGTCCCTTGGGTGTGTCATTAACCTGTGATCATGGAAATACTGATTCGCCCTGATTGTTCTAGGTTTGTCAGCACCATACCCGTGTTTGTGTATTCACCAAAATGGTAAACGTTCAAAACCTGCATCACTTAATGCTTTCTTAACATCAAGCGGACATAATCTCATTAAAATCAGATCTCTTACTACGATCCGATACCTCCCTGTGTCGAGATCTGAGGAGACCTCGCGTCACTTTGACCACCAAATTTAAATAAAGGATGCGTTGGCTTTTGAGCCAATCAGAAGACAGCTTTCTAAAATGATTCCATATCATGTCTTTTATTTCGATCTTAGCAAAAGAAACAAAAACAAAACCCAAATATTCCCTTGATAGTACCTAGATGTTTCCACGCTCAGAAACGTCAATATGTATAATTTGTACCCACAACAGGACAAGTTATTATTTTCCATTCGGAACTCATCGGTTATATTCGTTTTACAACTTCACACGGAGGGGTCGGAGCCAAAGATCTAATCTTAATGAAATTGAAGCCGTGATAGAGCTGAAATACTCTTAAACCTTAAACCATACTCCTTCCCTCACTCCGGACTCACCTCGACTGCATTCTGTCCCGTGAAGTCATTGACCTTCATCCACGGCTTGCACGGTTCTTTGCATTGAGATTCGTTCAAGAAGCCCCCGTATGTAGAATTGTCCCACCTCATTGGAGCTCTCATTCGCTGCTTCTGACCCCACGCATTGTCGGGCGCTTCATTTGAATTCACCATACCGATCTCGTCGCCATAGTAATAAAATGGCGTCCCTGGCAACAGCATTGACAGCACGAGAAATGCTCGCGTCATGTTCCCGCCAAGTCGGCCTGCGATACGATTCACATTTTCATCGCCACCCTGAAACAAATGAAATGTTGTAATGTCACGATAACCTATCATGCGCCAATATCTTGTAACTAATAGGTGAGGTGAGGTTTAACATCGCGTCCAAGATTATTGCACTTATATAGCCACGTGCATGCACGTGTTTGCGTGGCTGCTTGCTTGATGCCGATTTATAGTGCTAGCTCACTGAGATACCATGCCGCAGTTTAACATGAATACCCCACTCAGACACAGTATACTGACTCCGAGCCGACCAGTCCTTGTTTTAGCCCCTTTATGCCGAGCGCCAGACAGGGTAACAACAAGTACCATCTTTTAACGTATTTTGGTATGACGCGGCCGGGGATCGAACCCCGGACCTTCCGCTCTCCGGGCGGACGCTCTACCACAAGACCACGGAGGCGGCCTAGTAAATAATAACGTACACTAAATTGTATAGGGGTTACACGAATCTCGTGATCATCATTCTAGTCGTGGTGACCTCGACCTTCACGCTCACCCGTTCCTGGTATCATCATTGTAGGTTTTCAGCGAGTCTCGTGTGTAGGTCGTTTTCGGTATTTTTCATGTACCTGAGATACGTGAATGAAAAGGCCTACGGTTTTAACGTTTGATACAACTTAACGTTGCTCTAACAAAGTGTATTCGTTAAAAAGTTTCGACATTGAAATAAGTGATGTTTTATTGTCAAATATGTTTGGAGGGAGGTGTATTGATGATGGTTGCCATGCAACATGGACGCCCCTCGTTACATCATGACGACCACCGTCAAAGGTAGCGTCTTGATAACGTCACACAAAAAATACGGTACTAACCATCCAGTTGGCCCAGCGTCCGGGCGGAAGATTGTCCAGCCAGCGCCTGGCCACTCCAGACACGACGTTTCCATCATCGCCCGTTTTCAGCTCGAGGCAGAACCGGTTCAGGGGGAAATTTACACCGTCACGGTTGAAGTAACCATAGTAACTCATCGTCAAATCAGTTCCGCCCTCAATATCCGCGAACAGCATTCTGGGAAAACATAACAGAATGCATGGTTAGGGTGGTGATGATAGAGAACCTTTGTTCCTTGTGACTTCATTGTTAGTGATAGATTCGATATTGATGATGTATGAATAACACTTTTCGTCACTTTGCGTTCGGAACAGTGAAAAATAATTGCATTGAACTCCATGATCTATTTACTTCGATTAAGAGTATGTAACCATATTGACCCGACAGGAAGGGGTTAACGTTAAATATAAGCTTATTGTACTCATACAAAGACCTGCGTGCACAACCTTATGTCGGTTTTATAGTGCTAGCACATTTAGATACCATGCCGCAGTTTAACACAGACACCCCACTCAGACACAGTATACTGACTCCCAGCCGACCAGGGCTTGCCTCCTAATGTCGAGCACCAGACAGAGTAACAACAACATGTTTTAACGTCTTTTGGTATGACGTGGCCAGGGATCTGTCACCGACCATCCGCTCACCACGGAGGCGGTCTTGTCCCGACAGATTCTTCGGTACTATGATAACCTTATATCGGAGCTCCGCTTGTCTCGAGCTTCGGATAACTCGACTGAGTATCTCGGAGTTTGAGTTCACGAGATATGGCTGTGTGTTGAAATGTAAGACATAGTGATAAGGTCCACTCGGTTTATTCCGCTACCTACAATAAACCTCGGGCAGCGTAGAGATATTATTGTGAATTCACTGTAAACCGCGTAACGCCATATCCCACCCCCTATAGTTCGTACAACAAGACGGCCATTTTTGAAGACATATTATTCTGTGACTAAGAGATATTAGGTGTACACTTCAATTTTAAGACAGACGAAAATGGAAACAGTTTTAACTGTTTGTCCAGGGTAATCTTGGAGTGGGACGAACAAGTGAAATTTACCTGTATTTGTTGGTCTTGTTCCCAAAGTCTTCCAAGAAGTAGCGCCACCTGGCGAGCATGTCGTTGATTTCACGCAGGCCGTATGTGTAGGTGTGATTGTAGTAGTCATAGTCGTTCTGTGCAGAGAACACATGCACTCGTGAACACTCGTGTCAAGTTTACGGAAAAGGGCGATTGGTGAAGAATAATAATAAAAGGTTTCGACATATGTTGAAGCACAAATACAGTAGCACGACTTGTATGTGCTGATTGGCAAATAACACGTATGGTACAAAATTGTTGCCTAAGAAAATAGTTAAACAAAATTTATTATTGTTTGTTTAGCCTGAGAACAATTTATATTTTCAAGCATAATTGAGAGTAGCTTTTTAATCACCATCCCAGCCCCATCTTTCTGCCCACTTCGACACCCTCATACTCCAACGTACGCACACTCCTACAAACACACACACACACACACACACACACACACACACACACACACACATGCATATGTATACCGAATATCAAATTTCAACCCCTTTCATATATCAAATCAGTGTGCATATACTCAGTGTCATAATTTAGGGGTCACGCAGATAACAAGAGATAAAAGTATTTAAAAAACTGTCTGTTTTTTCAACTTCAGAGAATACATGAACACGCAATGCCATTTAGAAAGTGGTGAAATGTAAAAAAAGTTATATTTGGGATAACACTTTCCTAATAAAGTACAGATTCTCGTACTGCTTTGGATTGAGTACGTGAATCTGAACTTTATTAAGAAACTGTGTCTCCTACTTTTGTAATGACATTAAATAGCGTATCATACTATAGTAAGGATATTTAACCATGTCTACTACCGTTTTAATGGCATTCAGTAGTGAATCATACTTTTGGGTACATCTGGAATGAGCCATTTTATACCCACATTGACTGTTACTTGTCATTTATTGCACGTGCTTCGGCTAAAGTACTGGTTGCGTTCAGGCGTGTGTTTTGGGTGACCTTTTCCATCACCTTCAATTTTGCACTTTTCATAGTCTTTAATAGTCGCTGTCCATTTTTCCAGTTTCATAAAATTATCCAGTTAGTGTGACATAGGCATAAACAACTTGTTCGCTTGCTATTTATCACATTATAAACATACTCAGACCTATTGATGCTTGTTGGTACATGTACATGTTCATGTTTGAAACACTACGCTCCTAAGTGACTCTTCGAGTATGTATTCCATAAAGGGAGACAACTCCATTCTCACACATGGTTTCAGACTTACCGAGTCCTGTGTGAGGTTGGCGGAGGAAGGTGCTTCATCCCGCAAGTCATAGTCCTCGTACAAATAGCCACTGTCTCGGATGTAGAACCCATCCACTCCCTTCTCGAGCCAGAATTGCAGGATTGCCTGAAGCGGACGTAAAATGAGACAATGTCTTGCGCACACTGGTGACATCGGCTGATTCCCCTACCAGGATGATTTTATTGGTCTCGAGCAGGGTGTGTTTTCTTTTTATGGTGAGGTGAAATATAGCCACGTGCATGCACGTGTGTGTGTATGTGGCTGCTTGCACTAGTGGACTGATGCCGATTTATAGTGCTAGCTCACTGAGATACCATGCCGCAGTTTAACATGAATGCCGAGCGCCAGACAGGGTAACAACAAGTACCATCTTTTAACGTCTTTTGGTATGACGCGGCCGGGGATCGAAAACCGGACCGTCCGCTCTCCGGGCGGACGCTCCACCAGAAGACCACGGAGGTGGTCTCTTTTAATGATAACCGAGAAATGTATCATGGACAAGTTATCCTTTGCTCACGTTTATTTTTGGATACTTTAACAATTCGACCTTAGAAGGCAATAGTTACTGACCTGAAGTTCCACCTTGACCTCTGAGCTTCTAAGGTTGAGGTCAGGTTGATCTTTACGTAGCTGGTGAAGATAGTACTCGCCTCGAGTTGAATCGTTTGTCCAGGACGAATTACCATATACAGATTTCTGCACCAATCACAAAACATAAACTCAGAATACCACACACATCAAAAGAATTCATGAATATCCATGCACAAATCATTGCATAAGAAATTATGTTTGTGGTTTAACGCCACACTCAAAAATATTCCAGCTATATGACGGCGGTCTGTAAAAAGATAGAGGCTGGACCAGACAATCCAGTGACTGACATCATTAGCACCAATCTAAGCTAATGGGATACGATGACATGCATCAACCAAGTCAGCGAGCCTGGCAACCCGATCCCGTTAGTCGCTTCTTACGACAAGCATGGATTAAGTAAGAAATGAAATCAAAGGCGTTCGCAAAATTAAGACACATGTTCAAAATAGTGTGTGAGATATTCCCCTCTTTACAGTAGCAACAGACACCTGGGACACCATGAATGGACCTTAACTAGAATATACTACTCAGAAAGAGTTAAGACCGCCCGATTCTTTCATATTACTATAGTGCCAGTAATATGAAAGAATCGGGTGGTCCTTAACTTCTTTTGAGTAGTATATTCCTAAGAGGCATCGAGTGTGAGACTTCGGCGTATTGTGCGAACGTTAAAACCGCACATTTCTCAACTTGACCTCGTCAGTGAAGATAACGGTTTAAAGAACAATTAACAATACATGTAATTAAAAAATTTGACATTTCGAGTCTAGCAGATTGTCCTCTTATCCTAATAATAGTAAGAAGAAGAAGAAGAAGAAGAAGAAGAAGAAGAATTCTATAATGTGGGATTATATTTCCGAGCCGCCGTTGAGCTCACCCAGTTGTTGGGCGCCGTCGCCTCCCATACGTAGAAGTTGCGTTTGGGGCTGGAGGCGTTCCTGCTCTCCTTGAACCAGGGGTGCTGGTCGCTGGTCAGGTTGGGGATGAAGTCCAGGGTCAGCTGCATGCCTGAGGTCAGAGGTTACAGATGAAAGGCTATACTAACAAGCACATTCTTACCACCCATCTTAGCACGACAGTATAATAGTATGTTTGTTTTGTTTGTTGTTTAACGCCGCACTCAGCAATATTCCAGCTATATGACGGCGGTTTGTAAATAATCGAGTCTGGACCTGACAATCCAGTGATTGACATCATGAGCATCGATCCAAGCAACTGGGATACGATGACATGCATCAACCAAGCCAGCGAGCCTGACCACCCGATCCCGTTAGTCGCCTCCTACGACAAGCATAGTCCCATGTTGTCTTCAGTATTCATTCAGAGTCATTCAGTATTTTTGCACAAAAATGGAATCAGGTTTACACGCGTTTCAAAGGATGGTCTTAAATCTGGAATAAATAACCTTTTGTCAAAATCAGGTGGCTAAGTAAATGTGCATACCTCTGGCATGTGTCTCGTTCAGAAGACTCTCGAAGTCGCTTAGTGTCCCATATTTATCATAAATGTTTTTGTGGTCTGTGACGTCAAAGTCGGTTGACGCGTCTGTCGGCTTTTTGAAGATGGGAGACAAGGAGATGGTCCCGACCCCCAGTTCCGTCAGGTAGTCCAGCCGTTTGGCGATCCCTATGGGCACACAACAAGGAACACGGCATGACTATCAGTAGATAAACTTAGAGTGTTTTGAAACAGAGGGGCAACTGAAAGGAAACCGTTTTTTTCTATGTAATTGAAAATTGAAAGAATATGTAAATTAGTTCTTAAATTTGATTGTCAACTTAACCATCACTCATTCCTTTAACAATTTGTCAAAACAATCTGTGGCTGTGCAACATTTTTTTGCAAAGATAGATTGGTTCAATGAAGAAATGGGGTAAGAAATGAATTTGCAACCACATGCCCCCAAAACACGTTTAAAATTTTGTAAATTTGTGTCGAAAATAGCACATTTATTGATTTTCAAAGTTAAGGACATCTAAAATACCCATTAGCAGTGGCGTATTATGCGATAAAATTCTAAAATCAAATCTTTGAAAATAAAACCATTTAGAAGTATTTTATGAGTGCTGACCAAGCGTCAGTACAGTTCCTTTTTTATATAACATCGCTATATGAAGATATTTTCAACTGAAAATCAAACATGATAAAATCAACTCACAGGGGTTTTTTTTGGCCCCTCAGTTTATAAAATAATAATTTAACATTAACATGTTAATATTAATTCAGCATATGTAACCTGTTTTACCCGAGCCAAATATATATGATTGTTTACCAATCCTGATTTAAATTAACGAAGCAAACATTTACAACATCAACACGTACCGTTGAGGTCCCCAATACCGTCACCATCGGAGTCCTGAAAGCTAGGGACGTAGATTCTGTACACTACGGTCTTCTGCCACCACTCACGCTGTCGGGGTGCGCGACACCGCGGGTAGAGGAGGACGAGGACTACCACGGTGATGATGAGTGCAAGCCACCCCAGCAGGATGATAGACATGCAGACGTACCTCAGGCGGCGCCATAGCGGCTTGGAAGAATGGCGGAGAAGATCCTCCTTGCCCATGCCCCGGTAGGGCGCGTCCGAAAGGCCGGTCGGTCGGTCATAGGTCGTGGGTTCGTTTTTGATTTTGACACCGTTGTCGTGGGTGAAGCTCGGATTGTCGTACACTACTGGGTCGTCTCTCTTTCTGACTCCTGTGTCGGAGTCCAGGGGTTTGTGGGATACGACGTAGATCCCGGTTTTGTCCATCTCTGCCTAGAGGAACACATAGAAATTCCAAACATCAACCAGAGGATTACCAGTCTCTAATATCTACTGAAGCAGAGTCCATAGGACGTAAAGGGGAATGTGGTGATAAAAGTATATGAATGGATCACTGAAAACAGTGATGACACCATGGTTCCCTCACACAAAGAGATCTTAGCGCCAAGACCATTGCAGTGAGTGAGTTAATAGTTAACGTCACTCAGACCATTGTATCTACCAATAGTCTTCGCACATAAGATTGCTTTGTGCAAGTAGGCCCAGGTGTTCTCGGAAAGCGTAAGCCCGCCCTGCCTTACCGGAAGCAACCGCCACCAACCCTACCCGTCTAGGCGGTGACTGGGTGAGTTTGACGCTGCTTTGAACATTATTTCCGTTATGTAACGACGCGTCAGCTTTTCGTCCTGGGAAAGCCCAAATTGATGTATGTGGGATACGCTTGCCACCTTGGTGAAAGTCACAAGTACGAATGGTGGTGATAAACCAAGGATCATAATACTACGAAGAATATGGGATCAGCGGATCCAGGCAATCAATGGGCTCAATTCTGCATAAAATGTCGGCGCCTTAGATAATTCATTTCACGGAGTTCATAAATCCTCCCCACTACTAGGGCGTGAGTTACATGATTAGTTCAGGGGAGGTCGCCTAGCCAAGTGGTTACAGCGTTCGCTTGTCACGCCGGTTACCTGGGTTCGATTCCCGACATGGGTACAATGTGTGAAGCCCATTACTGGTGTCCCCCGCCATGATATCGCTGTATGATTGCTAAAAGCGGCGTGAAACTATTCTCACTCACTCATTCACGATTAGTTCAGAGATACAAATAGGGTTCATGTCGCCTGATATAATATGTTGTCATGGTGGACCATGGTGGAGTTTTGTTTTCGGGGCATAAGAAGACGTAGATGTATACCCCTTTGGCAAAACCCGTCATCGTTAGTATGGGCATTACATATCAAATTATCTGAGTAAAAGCGACAAAAAAAACGATTCCTTGATCATAAAAAGCGAAAAGTAAGCGGTGCCAAAGTCACAAATACATGCAAAGGCAAGTCAACTGTACACCTAAAAAGACACGGGAACATACAAGTCAATGTAGGCAAATGCACCGGACATGATTTTTGTCACTGATGCATCCAATTTGGAAATATCCTCCACAAAAATATATGCCCTGCTATAAAACTTCTTAAAGCTTTGCTGAGGATTTCATTGCTGTAACCTAATCAAGGCGAATCTGTATTGGAATCGAGGCAAAACAGTGGCAACGTCCCTTATGTGAATTCGCGGTCAGTTATGTAAATTTGGTTATGTAAGGTAAGTTCTTGTTGAAATAAAAGAAATAACGATTCTACATTTTACTTGTTTACTGTAGCGAATATAACAGATAAAACTTCTGTATAATTTCTCATATCCTCATTTGTTATTTGCTTTAATTTACATTTATAGGTTATAGTTCTACAAGGCAAGACAATAGCCATTGTGACAACTGTACTCTGTGTGTTTACCATTGGGAGTCACATAAACAACACCAAAGAAACACTATATTTACATACTAATCGATAACCCCTGTTTCACATAACTGACACTGTTTTCTGGCAGTTTCCAGAGTGAACAACAATCAGGCATATACTATAGGCCAAGCAGGGGACGCATATGTCGATATACCGCAGTAAACTTCACAACGCCCTGTCTTTCAAACACATCCGACTAAGAGTATGGCTTGTGTTGTGTAGGTATAACAACTTAAGTCAATATGGCCAGTCAAACAAGCTTAGTGTATTACTCGTAGCAATGAAAACAGCTGGTTATCGCGAGCGTATTGATAGTGATAGGACAAACAATTGTCTACCTCAGGTCATGTTTAGATGTACTAGTGAAAGATGAATGTAGGACACAGGTAAAGATACCGCTTGAGCACACATTGGAATATGTATGCTACTTAGACATGCAACACTTAAAGTAAGACGGTAAACTTGGTTTAGCTTTTCAATAAATTTGAAAGTACTTTAGAATATTGTTTTGTTATAGCTGTTTGATTGTCTTTCACATGCACTCATGTTTGAGATTTATTTCATTTTTTTAATTTCATTGTCGGGTCCAGAGTCGAATATTTACAGACCGCCATTATATAGCTGGAAAATTAAGCGTGGTGTTAAGGAACAGACAAACAAACAAACCTACCCTGAGATGAAATAGATAAGGTGTAAGAGGGGGAGAGTTCAATCTTCTGTCAACCTTAAGTTTCGACGCACATTGTAAATATGTTTATACAGAACATATTAGTCCTACAAATTCGAGAAAATTGGTATTGACATCATAAATCTCTTTGAATTTCGGAAAGGTTAGAAAATTGCCATTTAATTGTATACAACATTAATTGAGAAACACTGCCGCAAAAATCAACATATTGGAAAATGGGAACACGAATGACGACACATTTCCCCAACGATACATGGAAAAAATACAACAGGATCCCATTTAGATGTACAGGGTACACTTCACTACAGTGGTTTCAATATGAAATGTTACACATCATGCTACCTACTAACAATTTGTTAAAATAAATGGGTTATGTCAATAATGAAACATGTGACTTTTGAAAATTAGAATAAGAAACTATACCAGATATGTTTTAAGAAAGTAGAAAGATTCGCCCACTTTGGACATACTAGGAAAGTTGGTTTCTTGTGAAAACAAAATTGAAAATCGTTCTTAACAAGAAGAATATACCTCTTGGTTTCCCGAAAAGAAATAATGCCCATTATAGTTATATTTGTTAAAAAAAACCTCATTAACGAAAATAATCAGCAAAGACTGCCAACTTTCCAAAATAGTCAACTTAAACTGTCAGAATATCATAATGTAACAAAATGTGCAGCTGCTATGACCAACAATACTGACACATGTTACAAGTTCTGTCATAGGCTTTTCATGTAATTGTGAAAATGATCTGCATGCAATAAAAATGTAAAGGAACATTTTTTCCTTGTTTTGATCTATGTCACATTGTGCTGTAGTGTTTTACTTCGCTGTTTAAATCTGTTTGTGTTGATGACATAGCCTGTGAAGTACTTCTGCATACACAAAGAAATTTACATCAGCGAAATGACGACAGACAACGTGATGGTCACAGAGAAAGGTGTCAAATTAGACGCAGCATGAAATCCATGTACATGTTAGACACATTCATTACAAGACATGATGAACATAATGTTTCTTCTATTTGAACTCCTTTGAAGAAGTTATGTAAAATAGATGAAACATTTATTGATACCAATTTCTTTATTATACTCAGGACACTGTAACAGCGGCAGCTCGGTGTAGATCCTTATACGGTTGTCAAGCAAGATTAAACCGAAACGTCGCTATTACAGCATTATTTAAAGAAGTTCTTATCCATATGTTATTCTACTTCTATTAAAAACCTTTCAAAACAGTTCAGAAGTTATTTAGTTGCCTACATTGAACTTGTAACACGTGATGTATTATTGCTGATTCAGGAAGTCTAAGTATACAGACAATCAACTATTGTTACAGTGGTACAATGTGGTGGACATACTGATATTCCATATACGGTAAACTACGTTTATAACGAACACGCTTATAACGAACTACGGTTACTACGAACTAAAATTAGCGGTCCCTTTGAGTTCGTTATAACCGTAGTTTACTGTACACACTCGACCAAACATTATGCCATGTCGAGTATGTATGTTAACATAAAACGTCAACCTCAGAAATTAATCAGTCTGCCGAAAAAAGCAAGATAGAGGTTAAATGGCTGATTGAAACTCAGCCATGACACCAGGTGTTCGCGAAATATTTCCTGCCCCTTTGAGAAGGTGAGAAAGTATGTCAATTAGAAATTATTTTTGGATTCTGTAAGCTTGTATTGTCCACCTCAAAATCTTATCTGCGAACCGGTAAATCGTGGGCGGTAACAAGCCTGCTGGCAGATATGTGATTAGTATGCACTAGTTCGTAAACTACCATCAAACATTAATGTGTAAAACCGCATCTACATGACAGTAGCACAAGGTTGCGTAGAGTATGTCTATGCTACAATGAACTAACCTCTGTGGCTGACTGTAAGGATGACATGGTGTCTGTCTTCTGTCCCAGTCTGGGGTGTTACCTACAACGAGTGACCCTGTACACCTACCCATCTACCCACGTGATCTGAACCTTTATCTACCCCCTTGTACCGCATACCTTGTTGCCTCCGTCTTGTCATATAACGGCTCTGTGTGATTTGTACTCTCATTGTGCACACATGTAGGCTAAGGTCAAACGCATAGATGTATACAAGCGATAACTATGAATCATACCCGTGGATTCACAATGGGATTATATTAATGTGCATGTGTATAATATTTATGTGCATACGTTGGGCTCCTATCAAATGCACGTAGGGTAGGGTACATGCATGTAAATATTTGCTATTTTGCGCTTATATGAATGCTGCGTTGTACGTACATGTCGATTCTTACAGTCTAATTTAATGCATGGGTGTATGCATGAACATGAATGCTAAGTATATGCATGTTACATGGACATGCATGTGAAATCGATCTTATGTATCATGTTTGTCACTGATGCGTCAAATGTGTAAATGGCCTTCACATGTTTCCACAAAACCTTTTGACAGCTTCAGTAAGGCCTTGAATGTTGTTACCCTGATCAAACCAATTTCGATCAAGTCGCTATTTGAAATGTTAATAGAAAGTGTGGCTATAGCCTTCTGCGTTTTCCGATGTTCATGTAGGGCAATGGTAGTGTGCTGTGATAATCCGTGGCAATGTCACCGGGACATTGACGATAACGACATACAAGGTCACCGGGACACAACACTAAATATGTATTAAAACAAAGCTAGTTATAGGCGAGAGTGCCGTGGTAACGCGATATAAATGAGGTAGGGACATTTATAAAGGTGATTAGTGATTTGTGACATGTATTCTGCAGGCAAACGAAAGTATACACTTTAAAATTGGATCAGACCAAAAAATTAAAAATGTTATCAAAACGTTAGCAGGCTGAAAATGTCACCGAAACACTACAAACTTAAGGTCCAAAACATAACTATGATAGCCGTATCAAACACATCACCATCGAAAAACCATTTCTTGTTTGTTTCATTTTTAATCATCACCAAACATAGGTGTATACTTTCCTTTGCCCGGCACTTTATGTTGAGGTTTTTCTATCAATTTAGTTTGGTTATATATCAATGCGATCAAACTGGCAGAATATATCAGAAGCAAATATGCAACGGTGTTACCCAGTATACCCCAAGAAGGACCTTGTTTCCCAATATCGAGGCTTATGTATTACATAATCACATTTTGACAGCGGCCGAATCTGAAACGAATAATCCTTGCCGGAAACAGTGAAGTTAATAATTTAATAAAATGTATCACTCTTATTCGCGGGAGCTCTAAAAAATATCACAAAATAACAGTACGGTATAACTCCCTTCACTGCATATACTATTAAATCCATTAAGAGGCTAGCGTACGGTCCCAAGAGATGCGAGAAATACGCTCATTCGGCAGTTATATTTATGTTCAATGGGGGAAAAGAACCCACTGTAATATCGTGTCTACAACTCACCATTGGCATAGTGGATCCCATGTTAAATGCCACAGGACTCGTAAACTCCCTATGCGGACAATGTTTTTCAGCGATAATGACATATGAAACGCGATTTCAACAATTATTAGAATTCTTCACAGCATTTCTTGTATTGCTATCACAACGTGATTGTCTTGTATGCCTGCAGCTTATGCTGTGGTTTGTGTTAATTAGTGTTGAGCGAGTCACACATCGCGGATTATCCTACTGGGACTCGGAAGGAACCATGGCTTTCACGGCAGGGGGCCGCCACAATCACGGAAACGGTATGGAACCCTGCCTGGAAGCTGTGACTTGGGTTGTATATATCAACTATAGGGTTATGCTAAATGACAAGTGAACTTCTTCACATTTCACAGTGAACAGAGCACTGACACTGGTCTGGAAGCTATAAATATTCGATCTGCAAAGGTCTAATGTGTTTCATGGGGTCTTACAATTAACACGATACTTATAATCCAACTGAAGGCGATGTCATCATCGTTATTTTATTTATTTTATTTTATTTTATTTTATTTATTTATTTTATTTTATTTTATTTTATTTTATTTTATTTTATTTTATTTTATTTTATTTTATTTTATTTTATTTTATTTTATTTTATTTTATTTTATTTTATTTTATTTTATTTTCGCTGTTGTCTTGCTGCTGGTATTGTAGTTATTATCATTATTCGTTGTAGTAGGGTCGGTCGGGTAGCCTTGTGGTTAAAGCATTCGCTCGTCACGCCGAAGACCCGGGTTCGATTCCCGACATTGGCGTACAATGTGTGAAGCTCATTTCTGGTGTCCCCCTTCGTTATATTGCTGGAATATTGCTAAAAGCGGCGTAAAACCATTCTCACTCACTCGTAGTAGTAACAGTTAGTATCACCATTATTCTCATCATCTTAGTTATTGTTATTGTTTATGTTATGTCTATTATCATATTTGTAGTATATGTTTACTTTTTACTATATTTTACTATTGCATTCACATAATTCACATTATTAGACTTCTAGTATTTTATGTCAGTAGGCGTGCGTAGTCGGAATCGTAGAAACGACTCTACTTTTGGCAGATATTTCTAATGAATATGTCACTATTTTGTCACTATTATTTCTATGGAATGTTATAAAAATCAAATGTATAAAATGTCTAGATGACAAAATGTTTATGATTTGAATGAAAGATTGTATGCTTTGTCATGTGGTGTATGAACTGGTTGACTGGTTCAATCTTTATGTCGACTTTAACACAAAGCAAACAAGAATACCGCGAGGTAGCAAGTCAAAACATTTGCACTGATGTCAGATGGGTACTTTTTGAATGGCCAAATAATTTATGCATTTGGGGACGACCTCATTAGCTGGTGGGGGGGGAGTGGGCATTAATAACAAATCAGAAAATGTCCCCCCTCAACAACTCACTTAGAACCTCCGTCCGGGCAACAAAACTTGACCCATTCCCCTCCCGAAACATTGACCACACCCTTATAAATAGGCTGTTCGAAAACGCAAAATTGTCTTATCAAAGTTGAATAAACAAAACTTCAAACAGAACACTGTGTACATGATGACGAGGGATGGTCGCCGTCGGCAGTTGTTCTGTGTATGGTGAAGACTCACGACAGCTTACAGTTCATGGTAGCTACACAAACTTGTGACCCAAATACATGACTCTCGAAACCGCACCCGCAACTCAGACTCGAAGTATATGCACACTTATCTTCAAAACACCAAATCATAATTCATACTCGGGTATAACCTAAGTGGTTAAAGAGGGTACTTGTGAAAAATGCATTATGGCACTTTGAAGACAGTTTTGCGTAGGTTATGGATCAACTATGTGACATAATTCGAGTGCATTGTCATGCTGTCACTGACAACACCCTGCCCACTGCAGGAGAGTGAGCATCTCATTTGACACGTGGATAAGAAGACAAAAAAAGTGTCACAGGTTTAAAAAATGAAAATTAGTTTGACACATACCTGTGTTAACAAATCTCAAGCTGTGTACACAGACGAAGGCCTCCACAAACTTTGTAATCTTTACCAAGTAGGTCAATGATATTCTGTGTGAAGGGGTGTCAAGAGTTTAGAGTCTGATGAAGATAATGCTTCTGTTCAAATTAATGTATTGAGAGTGTATATAGGTTATGCCTGACTTGTTCTAATTAATTGATGTTGGTATAGGACAACAGGTACTGCTCACATAGTGTTTGTTTCCTGCGAGTAATGTTTTCATTTGAGACCGTCACACCTGGGAAGATGACACGAATAGACTCGCCCAGGTGCGATCCAGTTTGGTGAGTGAAGAATGCAGGGAAGGTCTCTCCCGTCGTCGCTATTGATATGTGAGGTCAGGGGTAACAGGTGAAAGGTCAGCTGTCGGTGTTGGTTTGTCACGGCGTAATACAATCTGTAGCGCATTCGTGATCAACTCGTGTTATTCCGGGACAAGCCGAATCGCGACTCGTGCCCCTCTGGTGGCCATCTTTTGCAACTGCTTTCCGTCTAAGTGCAAACGAGCATAGCTAAAAGAATTACTAAAAGAATTGTCAACTATCGCGTAATGATGCACGTATATTTTCCCCATGTGTATATTTTCCAAACACATATAGACTTAGGGTATCAAACAGCATGTTTGGACACATTTAGCTGTATGTTGGAAAATTTATCAGATTCATCACATGTAAATTCAAAAATTATCCAGGGGGGATTGTTTGCCTGAAGTACTTGAAGTCATACGCGCAGTCTGACTGATTAGGCGCATTTTCGCACATAACATTCATCGATAGGGAGACGAGTCTTCATGTGGGTTATGGAAAGGGGCGAGTGGTGACGAATGGTCTGTCACGCTGACAATGCGGCGGAGGGATACATGCCCCGGAATACCTGTACTTGTTATTGTTGAATTGTGCACTTAACTCCCTAGAATATACATCCATGTCGGACTGCATGCCCCAGTGATCATAATTAAGCATTCATTGTCATTAAAAATTATGATGGGGATTTTGCATTTATTAATGGGGTAACGTTGAGGTTGGCCGGGTATTTTGCCCACGAGTGCACGCCACACTACACAATCAACACCACACCACACCTGTGTGTGATTGCCCACCCCGAATACCTGACAATTTTCTGTTCGTCTCTCCTAATAGTCCGCTCTCTTCCCAATTCGTTTATTCATTTGTAGTATTGACAATAAACCTGTTTATTTGTATCAAGCCTATGAAGCACCAAGGCTATTCTTTTCTTCATCTTTTGTTTCCTTTCAGTCTGTTGCCTTCTTGATGTCTATGCACGCAAGCATATGTTTGAGTTGTCTCCCTTACAAGCAATTTGAGCAAAATGAGCATATAGTATTCTGTGCTCAACTGAACTTAGATGGTTATGCATAAAAGACATTTTTAGTGGTTTATTGAAACTTTGAATATGAAGATCGGCTTTCACATGGATCATGAACCATCGGATTTAATGTACTTAACTTAAGTAAAGTGAATGAGCTGGATTTAATAACGCCGCTTTGAAAGTATTTCAGTTATTTCTCAGTGTGGTAGCTTAAAGTGGATGGAGAACCTGAAGAAGCGCAGGTCACGTTTATCACTTTTAAAAAAAACACAGATAAAGGTATGAGTAGAGTGCTGACAGGCTGACCATAACCAGGGTAAATCATGGATTTGAACTCACGTATAGCAGATATTGGACCTCTGAGGGACGCACACACATATACACACAAACACACACATACATACATCCGTCCGTCCGTCCATGCATCCATCCATTCATTCTCACACGCACTCACATACATACATACATACATACATACATACATACATACATACAGACAGACAGACAGACAGACAGACAGACAGACAGACATACAGACATACAGACATACAGACATACATGACGTCTCTTGCATCAACATTAATTATGATATGAAATAAATGTGGATATGACTACCCAGTATGAATCACTAACAACAATGTGATGAAAACATTTCACATCAGCCACGGTGGATAAAGGGGGGAAATCATTCGTGACCAACTCGTGTTTTTCCATGACAAGACGAATAGCGACTCGTGCCCCTCTCGTGAACATTTTTTTGCGACTGGGTTCCGTCTAAGCGTAAATGACCAAAGCGAAAAGAATTGTGCGTAAGGATTCTCTTATATTTCCCCTATATATCATAATTATATATTGCAGATGTTATTCATCGGGTCTTACGTTATTATACAGTATGATTAAACACATTTACCTGTAGCTTGGGTATATTTTTAGATGCAAGACATATGTAAAATCAAAAATAATTCCTGAATGATTTTTACTTAAGTGCTCGAAGTCATACGCGCTTTCTGATTGGTTTCTTGTGTTTTCGGACATAACATCCATCGACAGGGGCACAATGATTCATGCAGGTTACGTGAAAGGGGTGAGTGGTGACGAATCTATTAGATGTGAGGCTTTAAAAGTACAGAAATTAATAATATACCACGAGAATATCAGACGTTGGCAAATTTGTCTACACTTTGTAAGCTACATCAACAATGCATGCAAAATTAGTTAAGAAACTGTCACGCTTTAATCTCCTTTATGAAACAGTGTGACCACATAAATGTTTCTGTCATCTTGATTAATTATGTATGGTGTATTGTTGTATGCTCACATACCACCTGTGGTGGCTGTGTTGTGTATTCACTAATAAACGGATTGATTGAGTGACAGAAACTGGGAATTAATGCAGCGAAGCTAAGTGCAGGTGTTCTATTGCTTCTTTGTTTGTGTGTGATCGATTGATTTTGTTAATTACGAAACCAACGAGGGTCTACAGTTTTCATCAAACAAAATGTCTTTATTTTCTTTTTGAAACAAGATGTGCACATTACATCTTAAGAAACAAAATAAGCCTCGATGAACGTCAGCAACAGTTTCACCTTACACGTAGTTGTAGAATCACTAAGTAACAATGGAATGCTATCAAGTAACCATAGAATGTCACCAAGTAACAATGGAATACCACCAAGTAACAATGGAATACCACCAAGTAACAATGGAATACCACTAAGTAACAATGGCATGCCACCAAGTAACAATGGAATGCTATCAAGTAGCAATGGAATGCTACCAAGTAGCAATGGAATGCCTCCATGTAACAATGGAATGCCACCAAGTATCAATGGAATACCACCAAGTAACAATGGAATACCACAAAGTAACAATGGAATGTCACCAAATAACAATAGAATGCCACCAAGTAACAACGGGATGCCACCAAGTAACAATGGAATGCTATCCAGTAACAATGGCTCGCCACCAAGTATCAATGGAATACCACCAAGTAACAATGGAATACCACAAAGTAACAATGGAATGTCACCAAATAACAATAGAATGCCACTAAGTAACAACGGGATGCCACCAAGTAACAATGGAATGCTATCCAGTAACAATGGCATGCCACCAAGTAACAATGGCATGCAACCAAGTAACAATGGCATGCCACCAAGTAACAATTGAATACCACCAAGTAATAATGGAATGCTACTAAGTAACAACGGAATACCACCAAGTAACAATGGAATACCACCAAGTAACAATGGAATGCCAGAAGGTAACAATGGAATACCACCAAGTAATAATGGAATGCTAACGAGAAGTTATGCAATGCCACCTAGTAACAATGGAATACCAACATGAAACAATGGAATGCCACCAACTAACAATGGCATATCAACACGAAACAATGGAATGCCACCAAGTAACAATGGCATACCAACATGAAACAATGGAATGCCACCAAGTAACAGTGGAATGCTACCGAGTAACAATACAATGCCACAAAGTAACAATATAAATGCTACCAAGAAATTATGCAATGCCACCAAATAACAATGCGATGTCACCAAGTAACAATGGCATACCAACATGAAACAATGGAATGCCACCAAGTAACAATATTAATGGAATGCCACCAAGTAACAATGAAATGCCACCAAGAAACAAATGAATGCCATTAATTAACAATGGAATGTAACCGAGTGCATGCACTCTATATACGTGCATTAATCTTGAATGCGATGACGTTAAACACCATTTTTACATCACCTTATTACTGACTAATAATGGAATACATTATTTGATAATGGTGGGATGTCATGGATATACCTCAGCTGAATATCACTGAAACGCTGCTATAAAAGAATGTGTTAAACACTTAAATGTTCCACAGATAATGGACAAAGGTGTTTATATATGTCCTTTACAACATATGCAGTTTATGTCTCATTATCCCTCACTTAGATTGACTCATCCCATGGCGCATTAACTTTATTCATGAAAGTGACTACAGACAACAAGCGAACTGTCTCCATAACCTAGCTTTAATTGCGTTGTCTAAAATCATAAAAACTGAGGAGACTATAAAAGCAAGTTAGATAACAATAGAAATCTATTGTAACACATGTTTGAAACCCAAACAACCTACACAATTCGTTCCCTTTTAACAGCTGTCATGGCACTTTCGTGACAGTGCTTGTCTCGCCTTGACATCAGAAGTCACAATAAACTGGACAACGTGCCACTTCCGGCATGGGAAATGTCACCGAATTTACACGATAAATCGCTGATAATAAAGAAAATGATTGATCAATTCGCACACAGATCGAAAATAACCATTGATTTCAGATTACATTGTGAATATCCCCCTCCTTCCCTTTCAAATCCCGACCAAATGAATGCAACGACTCCATAAATTACTTTTCGCTGCAAGTCCGCGATTGTTATGATGCATGTACCCAATGCCGAATGACATAGGAGTAAACCTAGTCGTATTTATTTTGTTGGGACAGTCACACAAACTTCTCATCAAGATGTCACTAGAAATGAGATTTGTTGCTAAAATGGATTGATTTCCATGCTTGATTTTACGCAGGATGCATAGTTAATAGACTGCAACGAGCACTCGCAGCACACAGTGGCTAGAAATGCCTAGCTGTAGCTCGAGTGACCAAGTGGCCATGGAAGAAGTCTGTTTCTGAAAGTTGTGCGGAAATGGTTTATAGATCAAGGTAGGGCATATTCTGCATATGTTTGATTTCCGTGATGTTCAGGTTGAAAACACGTGCCGAAAACAAAAGTAAAAGTTACAAAAAGCATTTCGATAATAATGAGAAATCTCTGCTAAAAGTAGAGTCAATTGGACGATTTCGATTAAACCACATGCACAGGTCTATGAACACTAACTCAAAATAAAATAGTGGTGACAGCAGGTGCTGGAGAAAAGGTGAGTGTTCATGTATCGTGTCCCACTGGTGGCACCCGTCACAAACACATGCAAAAGCAAGTCAATTGTTCACGTGATAAACAAAACAGCACAACCCTGGGAAATGCATTGGACATCATACTTGTCACTGATGATTTGGAAAAAAGTCCTTCTAATGTCTTTCATAACTTTCTAACAGGAACCGTATTACGCTCTTTGAAATCTCTTTGAAAGAAAGCCCACGATCGATATTACCTCAAAAGTTGTGAAATGTAAACACAAAGGCTTGAGCTGCTGGAATATTGCTCGACATACAATGTAAAGGCAGTGTGGAGTATTGGAAAGTTGATGTCATCACTCTTGCCATCCACTCTTGTGTGAACAGTTGGTTTGTCACTCTCAATATGTATGCATAGATCTAAACAAATAGTCTCTTTTATTTCTTGGGGGGGGGGGGGGGGGGGGGCTCGAGGGGGGGGGGGGGAGCGGGGATCTGAACACAAATATACTTAACAATGAAGTAGTTTTGTTAATAATATTTCTATTGTATTTAAAAGACGGTGACACACCTACCCGTATCGCAAACACCAGGTGCCATCAAAACCGTTACACTCAGTAATGCCTGTGTTGTTTAATCCGTTCCAAAAGCCAAGAGACAAACATCTAGACTTGACAACTATTATAGACTTTCATGGACTGTACTGGATACATTTGTTTCAGGGCCTGTATGAAAGGCTATTTACGAGTGTCCAAATAATGTATGTTAATAAGTAGTTGTGCTGTAGATAGTTGATGCCTTCCATGGGAATAAAGAGGATTTGAAAGAAAGTGTGTGTGTGTGTGTGTGTGTGTGTGTGTGTGTGTGTGTGTGTGTGTGTGTGTGTGTGTGTGTGTTTAAGTATATACAGGGATATTACGGATAATCTGTCCCGAAAGAGTGAATAGTGGTAATCCCGAGCCTTTGACATGGAGTAGAATATTCTATACATCACTCGTTGACATTTTAAGATAAATATTGAAGGAACGTCGTAGGAAATGTCAACCCTCCAGATAATTCCACGAAGGCAGTATATTGTTCAGATGACGTACTGAAAAATAGATGACGTAAGTTCATATTTTTATCGACAATGAAGCAGAGTGACGTCAGGTGACTTCAACTGACCAATCAGCATTGAGGATCGCTAAATTGCACAAGTGCAGATATCGGAAAGTTATTATACATAATCATTCTACCCTCATGAGTAATGTTTGAAATGCGACAATTTGTAATTCCTATATCCCTCATTATCTTCGCCAACCCAACAAGTTTGCGTACTTTTTTGTTATTATTGAATGGACAAACGCAAATTGTGTATAGCTGTAGTCACCATGAGATTTGATGATGTTACATATAACATTTGAGAATATGTATTCATGTATGCTCTGTATTGACACATTAGGCTCTACCTTTTCTAATAATCAAAGTAAGACGTCATTATTTTACACGCTGCAACCCCATGACGTCATATTGTGTCGCCACCAATGTGGAAATGACATTAACCTATGTAATTGTAATTTCACAACTGAAACGCTGAATGTTCGAAACGCTCTTGTCAAAGAGTGGCTCTCATGCTCGACAATGTCTTCATGACAACATGTATGTTTGTTTGCCGTTGCTTAACGCCGCACTCAGCAATATTCCAGCTATATGACGGCGGTCTGTAAATAATTGAGTCTTGACCAGACAATCCAGTGATTGACATCATGCGCATCGACCCACGCAATTGGGATACGATGACATGCATCAACCAAGTCAGTAATCCTGACAACCCGATCCCGTTAGTCGCCTCGTACGACAAGCGTATTCGCCTTTTACGGCAAGCATGGGTTGCTGAAGACCTATTCTACCACAGATCTTCACGGGTACATGTATGAGATCATTTGATCTCGCCCACAACCACAATCTAGAAGAGGTTAATGAAGATGGCATAACCTCATAATGTGGAATTACGGGGAGTTACGTTCACGCCGACGTCAGAGGATGTTTACGTCAATACATTACAATTCATAAAGGTCAGGCAACAGCTGGAAATATTTCAGATTTTATAATTGGGAATTAAATTTCATTCATCGTTGGAGTTTGAAACATATTTTGCTTCATACACCTAAACCTTTAAGAAAAGAAACCTCGTTTTTGCAAAATGAGAGTCACTAGAGTAACTTGTAAGAATATGAAGTATTTCTCTGCGGTGTTGAATCTCATTGTTAATGTAAAGAAACAAATACGCCCCAGCTGTTAAATATGTGTTAAGTGCATCTTTCAGTCTTGCATTAATAAATCAACACCGCATATTACCTAATGACATATAATGTCCTAGGAAGCAATGGCTATTATCTGTCAGTCGGTCGCAAGTGAATGACGAATTTCTGTTGAGAATACAATTGCAAACGATGCCAATGCTTTTCGAGATATTTCATATAATTCTACGGAATCATAATAATCCTGTGAATATTTCGTTGTTTGTATCCATCTTTCCAGGTCATCTATCTTAAATCGACATTCCTCATCCGATTTACTCGGCGTGAACTAATACCCTACGGCCTCCTTGTTGTCAGATCCTTTAAGAATCTTCACAGGTATCACTGTCAGGGCTGTCCAATGTACAGCTCGACCTATCCGTGATAGTAAATATCCAGGGTTATTGCGGCTTCGTTTCAAAAGGCCACCCCGATCGAGCGGCCATAGGCTAATGCTTTGTTTGGTGGAACTGTACAGCTTCTTCCAGTGCAAGATATTTGTGTTTTTCAGAGAGGCGGATTGCGAGCCATGATGTGACAGACTTAATGCTGTAGGATAGCAACGGAGCCGAAACTTACACCGTCCGAAAGCAAATCTTCTCGTAGTCCAATGGCCGGAGGTAAGTTACAAGGAGTTTTTATACATTCGCATGTTGATCTTAAATTCTAATAAACATATCCAAAGATACACTGACATATTTCGGCAATTAAACAGAGTGGTCACAGACAATGAAAATATTCTTATAACAGGTAAGGGAAGATAATATTATGGTCACTAAATACTAGAATTCTAGGTTCCTTTTAAGACCTTGATTCAGGTTTTCTTGACAAGAAGCATGATCACCCTCTTAAAGCCAACACTCTCTATGGTACTTATCCTAATAATACCAAAGGATATTTTGCATGTTTTTATCTTGATAATTTCTATCTAATGTCTGAACACACTTCTATAAGCGTGTAATTCAATTTGATAAGGATAAGTTATGTGTGGGAAACCCAGCACACGTGTGCATCATGTTCTTCCTCTGAAGCCTGAGGCAAACACAATTATTCGAGAATGATATCAATAACGGTGAGTCCTGTTGATACCCGAGAGTTTGAAGTGGGATGTCTATCATCGAAGACTGTTTGTCTAGCGGCAATAACATGTAGCAACACAGGGTTGTCTTTCATATCAGACTAATAATTATCATTTGCCATTACTTCCGACAGAACTTGATAGGAGACTGTAAACATCACAGAGCCGATGTGACATAACATAATCATGTTCTCTTTTGTTATACCGACCATATGTATAGGTATGGCCTTGATATTATCGACTTGTTTAAAGGACGAGACGTGAGGGTCCATTGTGGAAGCTGTAAATTTAGATTTTTACACTTTGAAAGCTTTGAAATATTGGCAAACGATTCGATAAAACTGTCTGCCGTGTTGTAACTAACAACCTTAGTTTCAAATTCAAGTAAAGGCTCAACCTACTCTGCAATGAAATCTGAATTAAAATTGAAGAACTTTTTGGAATTTATACCATTTCCTTTGGCAATACAGCTACTGCATTTTCGAACCTCATGCCAGCACCTGCTTGTTGAAAAGGAAAGATGCAACGTTGATGATTGATACTGGAGCTACATTCTCAGCATGACTATTTATGTAAAATTAATTATACTAAAAGTAACATACGTTGAAGTTGGGGTTACACTTTCTAAGTTAAGAACAAATTCCAGTACTTTTGGGGGTGGAATCCCATCCGGGATTCGAACCCACAACCGGGATTGGGTGCCTCACTCTGAGAGTGTGGGTTCGAATACGCGATCGGACTCCACTTAAAAATGTACCAGAATGTGTACTTTACTAACTTTAAGTTTCATAAAAACTATATCATACGTTGCGTTTCCGCACTTTTATAAAGGCATTGTCATTTCGCATTAAACATAATTATTCATTTTGTTTCTGAAAAGTCAATCAAATATCGCCCATAATAAGAGTGGCAAAACTCGAAACTCCGAAACAACCGAATTCCCCCTATCGAAAATTACCCCCATATCACTAGTCAGTTACATTGATGTGTACAGAAGGACCTCGTTAGTCCGGACGGCCCTGGGTATTTTATTTTATTTTATTTTATTTTATTTTATTTTATTTTATTTTATTTTATTTTATTTTATTTTATTTAAAAAAATAATATTTTTTTTATTTTATTTCATTTTTTATTTCATTTGTGGGGATGGAGGGTGGGGAGGTTTTTTCCCTCATATTCACCTGACACACCGCGATATAACTGAAATACTGTTCATAGCAGCGGTAATCCAAACTCATTTACTCTTTGCCTTCATATCTATATTCGGTTTTTAGGTGTGCATTAAGTTAACCATCACTACGGTTTTGAACACCCTTCTACTGTTCAGTAAACATGTTAGTCATATTATGAGCCGACAACTGAAAGGGACTGAGACATTTTAAAACTGAACTTTATTAGGAAAATAATGTTTAAAGTCAAGTTACTGTTCTTATTGTAATCCGTTGAATGTTTCATTTCACTTATTTTTCTAAGTGGTGTATTTTGTGATCACTCTTTGAATGTGTGAGTGAGTTGGATTTTACGCTGCTTACAACAATATTCCAGCCATATCACAGCGGGAATAGCAGAAATGGTGTGCGCACATTTTACCCATTTTGTGATGGGAAGCAAGAAAATAAATCAAAACGCGGACGTAGTTATAACATAAATCTCCAGGGGTATATCATTCGTACTTACGTCCCCACATTAACAGTGTGTGAGGTTAGATGAGGTCAAATGGGGTTTAACGTCGCCTCCAAGAGTATTGCGCTTATAACGTCTTTTGGTATGACGCGGTCGGGGATCGAACCACGGACCTTCCACTCTCCGGTCGGACGTTCAACCACTAAATCGCAGAGGCGGCGTGTAAGTGGGATGATATAAAGTCACAATGAATAGTCTTTTAGACATATCGTTTCGTGTTTTTGGATTCGATTCATATTTCTTTTACAACTAGCTGAATTGTGAAGCCACCACACTATCAAAACTCACTTAAACTGGTGGAGGTCGGGTAGCCGAGTGGTTAAAGCGTTTGCTCGTCACGCCGAAGACCCGGGTTCGATTCCCGACATGGGTACAATGTTTGAAGCTCATTTCTGGTGTCCCCCTTCGTGATATTGCTGGAATATTGCTAACAACGGCGTAAAACCATCCTCACTCACTCAATCACTTCAACTGTGCATGAGGTATTCCCATAATCCACCAGTAAGGAAATTGAGTCAGTAATGCTAGTTCAAAGTTTAAGCAAAGGTATTAACTTCAAAGATTTTGGTTCGCCGATATTTACAGTACGTGACCTTGCCATTGACCCTGTTGACCCCCAGCTCTTTAGTGTCATCTGAAGCTTCCCACAATGGCCCCGGTCGTGGCGGCATCTCTCAAACAGCCGACTATAATTTCCAATAAATCATCGTTTAATCATCCCACCTAACATCCACTTCCCATCTCATATGCAAAGGGAAATAATTTGTATAACGCACTGGGGATTTGTCGATAATTTCATTAATTCACCTGTGTGACTTGTGTCTGCGGGGCAACGGGAGATAATAGCGGCGGTGGGGATTGGGGACAACGTCCGCGTCTGGAGGTCCAGGCTAAATAATATAGATAGTGAATGAGTCAATTTCAAGTAAGTGCCTCTTTCTGTTGGATCAGATCATGTCAGATCAACGTGAATGAAAACTAACTAGGACACAGGTATGAGGGACAAAAGAAATCATAGCTCTGATTTTATCGTATGTTTGATTTTTAAGTTGCGCCATTATATTAAAAAAATAACTGAACTGAATCTAAGTCAGAACTCAAGGACTCAAGGAAAACTTCTACATGGTTTTATATTTTAGAATATAATTTGAATAAAACGTTTAAAATTTATTTTAAAAAATCGTATAAAACACAACTGCTGAGACATCTTATCTTTGAGCGGCGGTCGGGTAGCCTAGTGGTTAAAGCGTTCCCTGGTTCGATTCCCGACATGGGAACAATGTGTGAAGCCTATTTCTGGTGTACCCAGCCGTGATATTGCTGGAATATTGCTAAAAGCGGCGTAAAACTACACTCACTCACTCTTAGCTATAAATTTGCTTTTCTTTTCGGCACAAATTTTCATTTGCAACGTGATCGGGGTCATGTGGTTGCAAATTCTTTTCTTACCCCAGTGTTCATTGAATCAATATGTTTTACACAAACTTGCCAAGCCTCAGATTACTTTACAAATTGTTGCAGGAATGAGAGATGCTTAAATAGACAATATCAGACTGTTCTTTCAATTTTCAATTACATAAAATGCAAACTCTGTATACTTTCCTTTGCCCATCAGTATAAGGGAGAGTGAATAAGTGTTTTAACGACTTTTTTAACAGCTTAACGTGGTGCAGATCGTAGGTGCTGACAAAATTAAAATAATAAGAACCCGGCTGTAAAAACTCAGCTCGTCGTATTCTGATACGCCTATGTAAAGCAAATACCGGTGCCTCTTACGACTGGGCCACCTGCGCACACCGAAATCACAGACTGGGGAAGTATGAAGTCACAGGGAGTGGGTTGACATAGATTGAAGACACTTTCAGCAGTGTATAACATATAGCTACCACAACCAATGGCCAATAGCGAACGTAACCTTACACAACCAGCTCAACGTAAGTTTAAACGATGTTCCAACCCATCCATGAGAAGCATATGTGACTGTCTGATAGCATTTAGTCGCCTTCTTGACAGTCAGACTAAGACTGAGATACACACTATGACCCCACTTATCTATTCTTATGGTATCAAATTAAAGGGAAAACAGCTTTCCGTAATCATATCTCTGCAAAGAACACTGTCAGAGTTCACTGTACAATTCCGACAATTACATAACCATGCGTTGTTTATGAATCAGTATCAAATAACATTGATACAGGTAATCTCGAAAAGGTGAACGTATCCTGTCCTCCGTGGCACCCGTCACAAAAGCGTGCTAAGGGAAGTAATCCTGTAAATGTTTAGTTATACAAGTTATTCATATTAGTAATTATTTAGACTTTATCAATTGGATATTTCACCCCACTAGCGTGTGCACGTCCTAGACATTGTTTGCGGTGTTATCGTGTTGAGACCATTGTATTCCCATTTCCACTGACAATCGCCAAACAGCGTTGCCAACACACTTGAGTGTTTTGTGTCATTGTGTCAACAATCACCTAACTGTGTCGGTCTTTGAACTGTTAAAATAACAACACGTGCCGCCTATATTGGGTGAACTCAACAGAACTTGTTTCAGAAGAGAGGGCCTTGTTTGATATAGAATTTATCCACTCGACTGTATTTTCTAATTTGTGAAAGGGCTGGATAAATCGATGGCAAGGCTGACTTGATGGTTGTGTATGGATTCGGAAGCTATGTTGTTGACCGACCCGCTCTCGCAGGCAACCTATTGATTGGTCACTTATGTCATTGAAGCTTATTGATTGGCTGACGGGGATGACATCTCATTCATCAGCTTTAAAGGTGTATTTTGCTGTAAGTTCTTGCTTTGGGTTCATGGTGAAGCTTGTACCGCATTATTATGGGACAACCACGTTG